GGCATGTTGGGTATCGTTTTACTCGTTGTAACCTCATCTTTTAGATTTCATTAAAAAATGGGTATTTTGTTGTGTTTTGGGGCATTTAATTACATTTTTCACTAAATATTGGGGTTTAATAAGGAGTTGCGCTAATATTGCGCAACATAAAAATTTGCAACTACCACCATTTTATTCTATAGGGTCCTGGCATTCAGAAAATATATAATGTTGGGGGGTTTTAAGTAATTTTCAGGCCTGCCACTAACACACTTCCTGTCTTAGCCTGACCACCGTCACTCACTGTACTGTATCTATGGTGCAGCATCAGTGTCATTGTAGGACAGGACAATAGAACACCTCCCCCTCTCCTCAACTCCATAACGCAGTGGGGAGGTAATCTGCAGACTGCAGTCCACAGAGAGAAGTGGTAACAATGTGAACTGATAGGAGTGCAGCAGAGGCAGTTTGTATAGGTGTTATAAGCTCACAGGTTTTCTAACAGGGTCAACAGTTATTTTTATTGCACTTATCAAAAAGATATAACACAACACATTTTCAATGGTGTATTTAACAGACCAATGAGGAACAGATGGGAGAAGTTTATTGCTATTATTATAGTTAACCAATTGATGACTGGGGTACAGCGCTGCTGTACTTTGACTGACATTTTATACCATTTTTTAGGGACAGATAGAGCTTTCTTTTGGTGGTATTTAATCACCACTGGGGTTTTTATTTTTTACTATATAATGAAAAAAGTACTGATCTGATTCACCAGCTTCTTCTTTGGCTATAACAGCCAGAGAAATGATAGCTAAAGGCGGAAGTGATGTAATAGACATCGCTTCTGCCTTTGGAAAGAGAAGAAGGAGAGATCAGTGGTGAGGAATGCTGATCTCTCCTCCTCCTCTGTACAAAGAGCCAATTTGAAAGTGTTCTCAGTCCCGGGCACCACTGAGCTGGGTTATACATGCGATCGGCCGGCTGTGGAGCTGGACGAACGCTTGTATAAAACAGCCGGTAACGGCTGAACACATTCCCGGCGGAATTCAGAAAAAAATCACATCCTCCTGCCGGGAAGCATTCGCCATCCACACATCGTAACAATAAGGACTTAACGGGTTAAACTTCTGGTATCCTCTATACAGACTCCATCCCCTGCCAAACAAAATACCCTTATGTCTCCTCTGCTTGTAGATAGAGGGTCAAATGATTTCACAATTGATTCCTCCTACATTGAAAGATGGAGGCCACCATTTTTCCCCTCACATTTATGAAATTACATAAATGAAAGCAACTGCCCAAACTCATGGTGCTTTTCTTAGAGCCTGATTTAGCATTGCAAGATTCAGGCTTCAACTGTACATTATGATTTTTAATCATTTCTGCTGGAGGGAATTGGTTCACTTTCTGCTACCCCAAATCCAGGTCATATATTGGTTTGCACATGAAGTTTGCACACCTTTGATTGTGAGGGTGAATGTATGCAGAAAATAATCATTTACATTTTGTATATGTACAGTACATCCATTTTCCCAACTATGTACTCTGTGCTAGATGAAAAGAATCTTGTCCTCTTTATTCTTTCCAGAGAGGTCTATAATTTTGTCTACAATTCCCCATAAATTAAATCCTATTATTTAAAATAACATGTCTTTACAAAAAACTGTATAACCTCACCCTTCTGTCACAACCTTAATTACAGTCACAGTCATGCCTAATTACTGCAGAGGTAAGAAATTATAAAACAGTCTACTGCTGTGTTGATTAACAACACATTATTCTCCATACTTGGGCAGCTGTTTGTGAATTTAGGAGGGCCAGGTTTATTTCTTTGCAAGTATCACTTGAGTTGTATTATAGAGTAACATGATTGTAGACTTCACAAAACAATAGTACCCTCAAAAGAGGCTTGATTGTACACCTACATGACTGAAACCCCAGATGTCTAATATTTACAGCATTTTCTAATAAAATCTTTTTGCAGTAGAAAATAAAGATTTCTGCCCAGCAGGTGTTATTAGATTACCCATTTAAAACAAAGCCAGTTATTAAAATGGCTTAACTCAGACAAACCTCTACTCATCGCACTGGTAGTCATGTACTCTCAAAGTAAGCTACTTTGTCTATTCTTGTTATTGTTAAACCTAGAATAAAAGCAGTATCTTTACAAAAGAATAAGTAAACTTTTAAATCTTAAAACAGTGAATGGAACTGTTATCCCCTTCAAGAGCAGGGATTTGTAAGGTTGGGTTAGGGTTCACTGTAAGAAACTTCTGCCGATATATAAACAATTTTATCAAATTAATACTTTGCTTTTATCAGTGGAGTGTTTCTTTCTAGCATCCTAACACATCAATCATTTAGAGATTTTTTTTAACAGAAGCTAACTAGTTTACTAATTTGTTGCAAAACCATAAATGCACAAATACAGTAAACTCTCATGTATCTGGCACTCATGGGGATCAGTAGATGCCGAATAACTGTAGTTTCTGGTTGCTTGAGAGTTAATAGTAACTTTAAAAAAAACACCCCTCTGCAGCACCCCGCTTCCCCCAAAGCTCCATTCACCTGCTGGCTAGCTTTCGCAGCCAGCATGTGAAACTAAGCAGCTGGAAGCAATAGCCAGTCTGTTATTGGCTGTTGAAATTTGAAATAGCCAATAGCAAGTGGGCTATTGAAACGGACCCACTGAGCAGAGGAACGGCTCCTCTGCTCAGTGGGCAGACACAATATCCAGCCTGCTATTGCGATTTGAAATAGCCAATAGCATGCTGGCTATTTCTTCCCATTGTTTATATTTTTCTGCTGACTACGAAATCTAGCAGCAAGATGTAAACAAAGACTTTTATAAGCAACTAAATAAATTTAGTTGCTAATGAAATTTTTTAGTGTACTGTGCACCAAGCACCAGGCATTTTTTCAATATGCATCAAACCACAGGCAAAAAAAACAAATCAAGGACATATGTCCTTTATTTCTTATTTGCTAGTTGCTTGAGAGTGCCAGATTACACTCTGGAATAACACCACACATCTTCAATGTAATGTAGCTATAAGTATTTAGGAAGAGAGAGTATTATTTTTCCAAACATTTTAATGTGTGGCACACAACTGCAACCTCCAGAAAACACTAGTGAAATATTCTTCGTATGTGTTTTTCAGATTGACTGTAGATCACAGTAATGCAAGCAGACATCAGCACAAACAAGAACTTAGTAGTTCAAGCACAATACAGAATTGTGCCTTCAGCAAATATTATCAGCTCAGTTCTTTCCAGAGGCAAGAGTTAAAGAACCAGTCTGCTAGACATCCTGGGTAAATGGCATGACAACAGAACCTTGCCTAAGGGAGGAATAGAGACACAATTTTCTTCGAATGGCTTTAGCTGTGGTTTTTCTTTAGCACAGCACAAGAAGAGGGGTCAAAGGGCCTTTACATCATTTGATCCCCAGAACAGTCCCTGTTGAGTCGTGTACTGGTTTGACATTCTAACAGGCTCATTAGTCTACTGTTTTTCCATGTAATTGAAAGTGTTCCTCAGCATTACTGTCTTTTCTTTGCTTCTTCCCTGGCACTCACATTACGGAGCTCGCTGAAGAAACGGAATAGAATGGATTGATGGGTGTCATCCAGCCTGCTGGAGCATAGATAATGAGGCTGTATTGATACCGCCTAATAGATGCTAGGATAATTTGTGATATTACCAGTTAGGGTGATAAGCTGTTTTGTGTCTAATAATAAAATAGTCGCCTATCTAAATAGAACACAATAAATGGGCTGACACACAAAGGTCATTTGAAAGGATACAAAACTATTTTTACTATTGCTATATCCGTGGTTGGGTAAAACTATGACTAGGGGGAATACCTGTTATTGTACCTGAATTCAGCTTTTTTATTTGTTGCATTACAATGCTTAGTAACTACTTTTAAAGTGACACTAAAGTCAGGAGTTAAATCTTAAAAATGCATTCAAGTTCCTTAACTATTAACAAAAATGGATCTTATTTCTGCATCACTCAGCTGTAGATCCTCAAATCATCCCTGAATTTGAGCTGACATTGTCCTTCCATCTGGTGGGTGACTACTTTTGTTCTCCATGGTCCCTGTTTGTGTTGTAAAGTAGCCACCGCCCCAAGCTCACTCTCATTATAGACTATAATCTTCCCATTAGTTTACTTAGTTCTATTGTGTATTGTAGTCCATCACAGAAGTGAGCTTGGAGTGGTGGCTGCTCTACAACACACACAGGGACCATGGGGAACAAATGTAGCCACCCTCCAGAAGGAAGGACTGTGTCAGTATGAATTCAGAGATGATTTGGGGATCTACAGCTGAGTGATACAGAAATACATTTTTGTTAATAGTTAAGATACTTGAATGCATTTTTAAGACTTAACTCCTGAGTTTAGTGTCACTTTAATAAATGCATGCTGTAGGTTAGATTTTTTTCCAGTTAACAGTAATTATGGAACCTAGTTAAAGTAAGCAGTGACTAGAGTAATTTTTCGCCATACATGCAAAGATCTAATTCTTTAACCTTCACTTGTTCACTTTTTCAGCCAGGGTACACCTGAACTATTTCATGTATATTGGGGAGTCTTCCTTCAAATGCCTGTGAAGTAGTACTGTTCCATGCCAGATGTGTCTATAAATGTTATCAACAGTGGTGATAAACAAATCAGACAAAATTTGTACATCTGTCTCTTCTTGGCTTTGAGAGTATTTTCAGCCTGTTTTAATTATGCTAGCATGTTTTATAAAAGAGAACAGGAAGCTAAAAAAAAGTGGATAGACTGTATAAAATCTTAAATATATTAAAAAAGTTATTTGAAATACATTCGTTGTCTTCCTCTCTCCTACATCACACCGAAATACATTTTGGATTGCCAATATTTACTTTTTTAGTGTACACTATAAAGGAACATGCTGTATATAGAAATGATTAATGACATACAGTATATATTATTACATTTGTATTCTGTGTGTGATGTTGATTCTATGTCTTGCTTTTAAGTTTCTACCACACAGAGGACACGCCACCAGTATGGACTGTATGATGGCTCATGGAACAATTCTTCACCAGATGTTGGATTTTGATGAGTTTATTCCACCTATCCCACCCCCTCCATATTACCCACCTGAATATACCTGCACACCTGTCATGGATGTACAAAGGTGAGGAACAGCGTACACTGGAACTACTGCTAAGATGTTAACATCCCGAACTGCAAGTAAACAGCTAGGCACTTGTTCACACCATGTCAATTGATAATTGTTCTCTATGTGCTCTGTTTACACCACAACACTGCATTGAGGAGGTTTGCAGTGCATTGGTAAAAATGCAGACAGGCTATATTTTTGCACAGCACAACTCGCTGCACCTTGGAAGCATCACAAGGCACTGAGGTGCATAGACTTATATGACACATTATACTTTATGACACTTCAATAAAGTAAAAAAAAAGGAAAAGGTAAATGGTGCCCTGGGTTGTAGTCATGCAATGCATTACTCCTCACGCAGGGGCGAATCCACCGCAAGGCGTTTTCCTTGGATGGCACTTTCCAGAGGGGTGGCAAAACACCATACCCAAATCAATGCGGCGAGTAGGGCTAAAAACAATCAGGCAGCATCGGCTGCCTAATCAGGCAAATTACCTGAGAGAGCTGCTCGTTGAAGGAGGAGGAGGTGGGGCTGGAAGCCGGAGGAGGGGCCGAGGCAGGACTAGAGGTGGGGCTGGGTCAGGGCCAAGTGAGATGCAGCCCAACCAGCGGAGCTGCCCGTACCCCACCATCTGATGGGGGATGACCCCGAGGTAGGCTGGGGGGCTTCAGGTAAGAGGAGAAGCACATTTGTGCAGGGAAAGGGACTCCTGAGAGTCCCAGGTGGGCTGTGCAGGGTCTGTGATGGGCTCTTCAGGGTCTCAGGTGGGCTGAGCAAGTTCTATATTGGGCTGTGTGGGATTTGTGGTGGGCTCTACAGGGTCTCAGGTGGACTTTGCAGGGTCTATGGTGGGCTATGCAGGGTCTGTGGTGGGCTCTGCAGGGCCTCAGATAGGCTATGCGGGGTATATGGTGGACTGTGCGGGGTCTGTGGTGGGCTCTGAAAGATCTCATGTAGGCTATGTTGGGTCTATGGTGGGCTGTGTAGGGTCTGTGATGGGCTCTCCAAAGTGTCAGGTAAACTCAGGTAGAGTCTGTAGTGGGCTCTGAAAGGTTTGAGGTGGGCTATGCAGGGTCTATGGTGGGCCGTGTGGGGTCTGTGGTGGGGTCTTCAGGGTCTTAGGTAGGTTGGGCAGGATCTATGGTGGGGTCCACGGGGTCTCAGGTTGGCTGTGCAGTATCTATGGTGGTCTTTGGGGAGACCCTGTAAAGCCCACAAGATATCCTTTACAGCCCATCTAAGACCCAGGCTTTCCCACTACACTACTAACGCAATCTGTCAGTCGCTGGATACAGCATGCATGCTGTATCCAGCGACTGACAGGTTACACAAAATGGCTTAAACAGAAAGGGGTGGGGCAAATTTAGATTGGGGGGATGCACGAGTGTAGTTTTGCCTAGGGCAGCACAAAATCTAAATACACCAATGCCGTTACACAATGGACACCAACCCACATGCATTTTAGTCTTAAATATTCAGCTGCAATTATATATGAACTGTTTTACCTGCCACTTAATTTATAATACAGTTCAGCAAGTCATGTGATCCAGGCACCCCTGCAAGACACCATAGCTAGGTTCTAGGTGTGCACCGATATAGATACTTGAACTCGCCCAAATGCTCAGATGTTCACCCCGATATCAGAACATCTGGTCAAATGAGAATCCTATGTTCTATTAACTCTCATAATAAATAAATATCTAAATTCATTTCAAAAGGCCATTGATTAAGGAAAGTTTGGATTCTATCAGTACGCGACCCTTTGAGGGTCAGCTAAGCAAGAAATTGTTAAAAATAGAAGAAATCAGCCATGCATTTTTGAATTATTGATATGTAAATAACCGACCTGAGGAATGTCAGTGGTTTCACTTGCAGATGAAACACATTCAGCCAGTATTTATGGAATTCAATTTGTTTGTTAACGACAGCACAATTTCTTTATTTCTCAAATAAATTTAAATCTGGTGTGTTGGGTACATTTAGATAGCAAAAGTGTAATCATGGTGTGATAAATATAGTGAATTAGGCACAGGGGTAAATCTGTTTTATTTGCAATAATCATACATTCAGAGAGATTCTAAAGTTTAATCAATTGTGAAGGGCATTTATAACATCTAGTGATGACCAGGAATTCTTTTTGCAGAGGACTTCATCTGGACTTCCCACACTCTCCTTTCAGTACATTATATGAGGTGTCTATAAACAGTCCCGGGATCCTCTATCCATCTGAGCTGCCACCGCCGTATGAAGCCGTGGTTGGCCAAACTCCTGTAAGCCAGGTAAGATATGAAGGCAATGTTCACGAATACCTTACTCCTTACTAATACCTTACTCCTAATTTGATTCTGCAGCTTCTAAAAAAGTTTGTGTTGTGTTTTCCCTGTAAAGTATCCTTTGTGTCTACAAAGAAACATTTACTATTTTTGGGAGGTACACACATTGGACATCTACTGATAATTGGAGACTAACTCCCATGACAATAAACACAATGTGATGTTTTCAATTTAATGCCATGGATATTTTAGAAGAAGACAGAAATAATGAGTCAAGTAATAAAACAATGTATTATCTTCTCACTTGCATGGCTTATCATTTCTAAAGAAATAAGCTCTGGGGCTGTCACATGATTGGGTTTTTTAGGTGAACACAGTTATTTACTAACAATCACTTTCAATGTAAACAATAATTTGCTAAGTAAACAGCCTCTACTCCTTTAGTAAATTAATCACATGTACTTAAAGGAGAACTATGGGGTTAGTGTTTTTCCTCATAGTTCTCCTAAGGGTCACGGGAGGACATAAACTAGCGTCCTCCCGTCACCCTAGGCTCAGTATACCGCTGCTGCTCGCGGTATACTGAGACGCCGCATCTGAAGCGGATCCCGACAATTATGTCTGCATCCGCCCAGCTGCGTGACTGACAGCTGGCTCTGCCTATCTAGAGGCAGAACCAGCTGTACTTGCCCCCATCACCCAAAGCTCAGTAGATCGCGAGCTACTGCTCGCGGTATCCTGAGACCGCTGCAGCTGGGACGGATCCCAACATTACTGTCGAGATCCAGCCTGCTGTGTGACTGACAGCTGGCTCTACCTATCTAGAGGCAGCGCTGGAGGATAGGAGCGGGGATGAGTGACAGTCACGGCTTTCTGCAGGGAGATGATCGAGAAGTGAGCGAGTGACGTTATGTGTTCGCTCTCTTCCCGATCTATTGAGCCGACGTGTGACAGTTTAATTGTCACACGTTGGCTCGAACTATGAGGATGAGTGAAAATCACTCACCTCATTGTTCTCCTTTATTAGAATGGGAAAAGATTAGAGTATCCTGCAAATTTTATTGTCTGTCTTCCTATCCCAGTGACTAGACATGTGCATTTGGATTCAGATAAAATTGCAAATCAATGAAATTCTGTTGATTCGGAGGTTCGTCCAAATTAGAAATAACTAATTATTATATGCCCGAATATACTAAAACTATATTCGGGCATATACTAATTAATTCGCAGAATGCACAGCGACCATATTTGCCACACATCCTCCAACCCCATACTGTCATAAGGACCTGATGCTGGGGGAATACATCACAAGAGCCTTTATGAATTGCATCTGCAGTCCACTGACCACTGGTGCCATGCTTTGAAGACCTAATTGCAAAATTTAGAAAAATGCCCATTGATCATAAGATCAATGTTTTTGCATTTACTACTTTTTTATTGCAAAAGGTCTAAGCCTGTTATCATTCATTTCTCACAGTTTTTTCACTTCCTTTTACATATATATTGTACACACATTGGGGTCTATTCACTAAGCTGCTGTAGGCAGCCGAGTGAATAAATGACCCGAAGTGAAGTGAGCCGAACGCTGTTCGACTATTCACTTCAGGCTTGTATGGCTGATTCCAGCCGTACATCGGCTGAAATCAGCCGTACATCGGCTTGCTTCGTGTGGCTTTGGGTTGGCCGAACATGCTCAGCATGTTCGGCCAACCCGAGGTGCAGAAGGAGTTCGACTCAGTTCGACTCAGCCGAATGACAGCTAGCTCCGCCCAACAGTTTTCTATTGTCCGGCGGTTCTGCTGCCGTCAAAAAAAAAGAAAACTCTCCCGGGCGCTCCGGGAGTCTCCCGCTCCCGGCCGCCCAGGAGAGAAACACTGCTTTTTCTTTTTTTTCTTAATTCTGACACGGAGCCGTGTCAGAATAGAAAAAAGAAAAGAAAAATATTTTTGCAGATTGGAATGCATTACTAGATTCCTATTGGCTATTTCAATTTGCAATAGCCAATAGTTTGCATAGCTAGATTCCTATTGGCTATTTCACTTTGCAATAGCCAATAGCAAAGTAGCTATTGCACCCGCCCTCTGCTGCTGTCAATCACTAGAGGGGACCTGATGGAGAACTTCAGGTCCCCTCTGGTGATTGACAGCAGCAGTGGGTGGGTGCAATAGCTAGTTTGCTATTGGCTATTGCAAATTAAAATAGCCAATAGCTATCTAGCTATGCATTCCTATGGTGATTTTTTTTTTTAATTCTGACAGCAGCCAACGGCTCCGATGTCAGAAGCAAAAAAAAAAAGAAAACAGGGCAGGGAAAGGTTTACTCTGCGATCGAGCAGAGTTAACCTTTCTGGGAGAAATATATAGCGGGGGAACTCCCGTTCAGCAAGCTTCGGCTTTCACCTCGGCTGACTTCGGGAGCTGTACGGGCTATAGTGAATAGCCTGTACAGCAGCCCTTCGGTTCTACTGAACCGAAGGGGTCCTGGGGCCGGAGCTAGCCGAAGGATCAGCCGAAGCTACGACTAGATCCTTCGGCAGCTTAGTGAATAGGCCCCATTGTTCCTTTTTCTGCCTTTCTGCCCATGCCTCTACTCCATCCCGATTAGTCACGTGCACCAACATGCACACTTTTGCCAGAAAATGTTTTTAAAAATTAAATTATATTCTTCATATGAAATATTTACTAACAATAATCATAACTGTTGTTGTAAATGTTCTCACACATAAATAAAGACAGTTTTTGTGTTGTGTCCCCAAGGTTATATTATGACCAAGCTAGAGAAGCTTCCAACCACTCTAGTCCTCTGCTGGCTCCAAGTGTTCAAACATAGTATAAGCAAGCTAGAGATGTCAGATCATGCATTCTGTTCTTCCTATTAATATTGTTTTAACTAGACATGTAACCCCCCCCCCCAAAAAATGTTTTGTTTCGGATCAGTTCAGATTTTTATTTCTTTCATTTTTTGAATTTCGCATCCAAAATTTAATTTGGTTAGTTATTCGGATTTCGGATCCATCCGAATTTTCGACAGCCATCCCCAACAGCCAAAAAAAACCCAATCCGTTTGGCCAGAGAACAGTCACATGTCCGATTAATTTAAGTTTTGAACAAAATTTGGATGGCTCCGCATTTTCGTTAAAAGGAACATTCGGATTAGTTTGCATTCTGACTCATTCAAGTTTGAAATTTGGATTCATCCGAACATCTGAATTTAACAAAATTTGTACGAATATCCATTTGTAATTAAACAGAATTTACATGTGTAGTTTTAACCTATACTGGAAGATTGTAATGGCTCTAAGGGTATGTTATACCACTAGAGCCTGTGCCATTGTATATACACAGTCATGTCACTTTCCGTGCTGTTTTTGGGGCCACAGCATGTATATTTAACATTCCAACTTCCATTATTGCTAAAGCTGTCCAGTTCTTCACATGCCAAATTAAAGGTTTGGTTTAGAGAAGTATGGATTACATTACATTTAAAAAAAAAAAAAGACAATATAGAAAAATCATGTAAAAAACAGGGGTCATGCACAAAAACTGGAACAAGAAGAATAGTGGGATTGTCTACTCAAAAGTGTGATTACTTGTTTTCTACAGAAATGTGTCAGTTGAAATCTAATTCTTTGTAATAAAATCCTGTAAACGATTGCTTTTTATATGATTAACTATAAAGGTTATTATAGAATTGTACAGTAAATAATGGAGTTGGTGCACTGTCATACAGTGATATACAGGGAAGATGAAAGCCTCTGTGGCATTACAGCACTATAAAATGGTGAAGGGCAGCTATCACTTTCACTATCGATTCTCCTACTTTAATAGGGTCTATGCTAAACTGCTGGAGTGCAGTTTAGATCCTCAATTTGAAGAGTTATATATCAGCTTCAGCATGTGTCCCTTATCAGCTCTTACCTTCATTTTCCATTTGAAGCCTTAGACAGCAATGATCTGGACAAAGCCTCACATTTCAAGCTTTAGCTTTTAAGAAATGCTTAAAACAGGGGCTTCACAGGGCAGGGTGTGACCCGGAGCGGGTGCCGGGTAACACTGCGCTGTGACATCGAGCGAGTGATGACATCACGCGCTGTTACCTGCCAGTGGCCAGCATGCTGATATATGTCGGCAGTAAGAGGAGGGGACATTCACCCGTAGGAATAAGGTATGCTGCCGGGTCCCCCCCCCCCCATCCCTCCTGCAACTGTCGGGCTCTCTGTCCATGGTCATCCTTACATAACACTCACTTTAATAGTCATACTAAAGTCTGTATGTTTACAGCAAAAATTAATATTAGAAGCGTTATGATTTTAGAAAAAAATTTTTTAGAAGGATAAAAAAACTGTCAAGTATGCTTTGGGGTGGTGCAGCGGTGTACTACTGGGGATCCCTGGTTTCATTCCTGCCCAGGACACTATCTGCAAGGAGTTTGCAGGTTTTCCCTGTGCTTGCATGGGTTTACTCTGGGTATTCACATATCCACATTCCAAAGACATGCTAGTAGGTTAATTGGCTCCTGTCTAAATTGGCCCAGTATGTATACATTAGGGATGCTCCGATACTGATACTTGTATCGGTATTGGTGCTGATACTGAGTATTTGGGCGAGTAATCGTACTCGCCCAAATAGTCCGATACCTTCCCCGATACCTTTAGGAACTTCTGATCAGAGGAACATTTCCTCTGGCCTGCAATGCTGCAGGGGAACATAGAGCCAGCTTCCCGGGCAATCAGGAAGCTGGGTGGCAAGTAATGACCCGGGTTCCTGACTGGCCGGGAAGCCGGCTGCATGCTGATTGTCCAGGAAGCCGAATTTCCAGCTAATCAGTATGAAGCCGGCTTCCCGACCAATCAGGATACCGGGGGGAGGGCCATTACCTGCTGCCATGCTTCCTGATTGGCCGGGAAAGCCAGCTCGTTGCTTATTGACTGGGAAACCGGTTTCAAAACAAGCCAATCACAATCTAGCTGGCCAAACAACATGAAGCCGCTTGGCTTCCTGATTGTC